CTGGCAGCCGGCTCACTGCCTCCTGTGCCCACCCAGATGAACGAGCAGCTTTCTAGCGAGCGTAGCAACCTGGCCCAGGTGATCCGCCAGGAGTTTGAGGACCGGCTGGCAGCCTCTGAGGAGGAGACGCGGCAGGCCAAGGCCGAGCTGGCTGCGCTGCAGGCCCGCCAGCAGCTGGAGCTGGAGGAGGTGCACCGGAGGTGAGTGTCGGGGGCTGCAGGGCTGGAGATGGAGGTGGGGCAGGGGAGCAGGCAGGGCCTCTGCAGCTCCAAGCCCCAGGAGGCTGTGGCTGAGGAAGGCCAGGAGATGCAGAGCCAGGGCCCTGTAGGTAGAGGCTTTGGGGCCTTGGAGACCTGGACCTGTTTTCCCCCTTGGCGCTTAGTCCAGGGTGTTGGCCATCCCTGTTGGGGCACCTGAGTGGACCGTGTCTGGGCCTGGCGAGTTCTCCAGGGAGGCAGCTCCCGGGACCCTGGGCTGGGTGGACAGACGCTGAAAGAGCCAGGCGCTGCAAGATTCCTAGTGAACTCCCTCCACAGGGGTCCTACGTCCTTCCTGTGCCGCCTGCTGCCACGGGCTGAGAGGCGGGTGTGGGCGGGGCTTCCCACCCCATTTTGGGTACCAGACCTCTCCAGGTGTGGCCAGGGTCACACTCCAGGGGCCTGTGTTGGGTCCTGACTCAACAGCAGGTGGGTTCCCTGGACAGCTGCCTGGCCAGCCACAGGAGTCGTGGTCAGCAGGGCTGGGACCAGGCTGACCAGGTGGCTGCCCCGGGCACCCTGTGCGCTGCAGGCCAGTCTGGGGCCATGGGGCGGGGGCCACGCTGAAGCCCACCACCCACCACACACAGGGTGAAGACGGCCCTCGCGAGGAAGGAGGAGGCTGTGAGCAGCCTCCGGACACAGCACGAGGTGAGTCCCCGTGGCCAGCCCTGCGGGACCTCAGGGCTGGGAGCAGGCCTGACCCTGCGGGTGTGTTGCAGGCTGCGGTGAAGCGGGCCGACCACCTGGAGGAGCTGCTGGAGCAGCACAGGCGGCCCACGCTGAGTACCAAGTGACCAGGATGCTGGGAACACTGCCGAAGAACGGAAGGCAGAGGACAGAGGCTGGACATGGCCCGGAGGCCCACGGGGATGCCCACCTGCCCCCTGCAGAGGCCGGTGGTTGAGATGCACATGGCTGAGCACCTGTGGCTGCATTTTAACAGTAAAGGAGGTCGTCGTTTTCAGTGCCTTGAGTGACTGCCTTGTCTTCTCTCCTGGGCTAGAGGCCGCCCTAGACCCGCAGGGCAGCCGGGCGTGGGTTTGGCTTTCTTTCTCCCACTCCCCTCTCCAGCTTGTGCAGGCTGACCAGGGAATCATGAAGCTTGGCCATCAGCCCCTCAGCCAGCAGCCCCCCAGCACTCAGCCAGCAGCCCTCCTGCGCTCAGCCCGCAGCTCCCCAGCATTCAACCCAACCCCCAAATTCCTGTTCCCTGCCTGGCCCGGGGGCCTGAGACTCAGGCTCCAGTCCCAAGCGCAGGGAATTCCCCACCCCATTCCTGGCCAGGCGCAGGAGGAGCTCAGCAGAACTCACCCCCTGGGAGGAGCTCCAAGGGCCCCGCCCCGGCCCTGCAGGTGCTCGAAGCCCACGGCCGCCAGTGTGCCCCTACGGCTGGGAGACTCCAGAGGGACAGGAAGCCCTGCCCTCCCTGCTATGTGTGACAGCCTGGAGCTCTCAAGAAATGGGGATGGACAGGGCCCACCCTTGAGGAAGGAGGCACTGGG